CTCCTTTTCCACAAAAGAAACCTTTTTTTTTTTTAAAAAATGAATTGCAAATAGGAAAACTTGTAGAAATGTAGTATTGCTGTTTTACTGACATATAATTGTCTGAGATCGCAGCTGTAACCTTGTTTTGCAGAAGCATTAGTATTCCTTCTGGGAGTTTTTAAGCCGCAGGGTTTCAGTGTTCAAGAAGCCAGCACTTATCTTTTCCTTGAACACAAAGAATACTTAGGTGCATTAATTCACACATTAGTAGTGTCGCTGGCTCACCTGAGTCCGCCCCTACCACAGGAATCCCAGGATTATTGATGCATTGTTCATTATTTTTATCCTGGGTTTGGACTTAAAGATTCCATGTACTTGAGATGTAAATATTCATTAAACTATATTAAATAGACTGTCTTGAACTCCTTCAGTTTAACAGCCACTTTGTTTGTATAGCTTCAGACTTTCTGAGTTTTGAAGAAAAACTCAATTTCTTCCAAGTGTCTAAAAATCAGAAGATATGTAATGTTTTTCTTAATTACAGGGAATACATTTTCTGAATCCTCTACCAGCACTTTGTTTATTTAATTGCTTTATATTTTACAACACTGATGAGAAGTGAGAGTATTGCATAGCTATAAGATACTGGGGTCTCCAGTAACACAATTTTGCAGAGGGTGCCCGAGAGTGGGAGCTGCTAGTCTTCTTGGACATGCTAATGTGGGGAACGGATTAGTTTTACAAAAGGGTCTAACACTGTTTTCCATTATAGTTGACCTTTAGCATCTGTTTCTTGCTGCTAAACTCTCCCTAGATTTTTCTAATTCTTTTTTGGGAAATAAAAAATGAGGAAGTAGAAAATTTTATGTGAAACATTACATGGGTTCTGAATTACTGGGTTGCATTTAAATGAGATATTCAAAGAGTTGTATGGACTGAATGAGCAGATGGAGAAATCGAGTTCAGATTTCCATTCCTGGTGTCTGTGATGACATGCTATAATCAACCACTGGATGTCACTCTTGCTTAACTTGTGTGAGGGTTGTTGATGATGCGTGGTACTACAACTGCTCATTATTAGCAGGTGTACTAGGTATTGTGTAGTTCTGAAGAGTGATTAGCACTCAGGAAAGCGTGGTAGGTGTCCATTCACTATTCCTGAAGAATTTACATTAATTCTGTTGGGGGAAAAATGTAACAGACAAATATTGTTTGGCATTTGCTTTAGAGTTCTACAATTCTTACATGGTGTGGCTAATGGTTATGTGAAGCTGAGTGTTTTCCAAGGCCGCTCACAAAGCTTAAGTGTACATGTTCAGTAGAGCGTATCTGCACGTGCGCAGCTTGGGTGTAGACTTACTGCGTAGACTCAGCATCTCCCTGAATCACAGAGCTCATGCGCTCGGCTAAGTCCTTGCTTATTCCAGAGGAGGGAAGGCAGCTGCCAAGACAGTTCATGCAGACTGTTTTCCTGGGGGCAGCTTGAGATTGGATGGTGCTGGTTGTTGGAAAGATAAATTGTTCTGGCATCAAAAGCTTATGAACCATCAATCTTCTTTCAGGGGGCAACAGTGAACTAACTGTGCATGTGCAGTACGCTTACTCTAAAATGGGGTGTGACATGTGAGAAAAATAGCAAGTAGGAGTCCTGCTTCTGGAGCAGTCTGCAGCCTGTTCCCAAGAGGCTTTAAATTGTCCTGAGGAACCTGAAAAGCATATTGCTACTGTAGGTGAAGCATTTGGGTATTCCAAAATTCCACAAACTTGTCAATTACACTTATCAGTGATACTTCTTCACAGCCATGTAAAATATTATTTCAGGTGCACCTATAAATCCTTTCTGGAAATAAGTAAAATGACTAAACAGCGATTTCCTAGCACTGCAGTTGCTTTTCCCTAATCTTATGCTTTCCTTCCCGCCCTGTTTTTCTAGTACTCCAGATGAAGAAGAAGAACGGCTAGCTAGAAAGACAGAGGAGCGAAGACTACAGTCTCTTCAGAGGCAAGTCTTGACAACTTGTTTTATAGCTATGCACTTCCTGGTGATGTAGGAGTGTTCTCCCATTCTAAAGAATACACAAAATAGTAAACAAAGATGCATTATGGAGGTTAGGCATGACAATGTCAGGTCTTTCCATAAAGGGGCTTAATATGCGATTTGCAAACCTGACTAGGAGCCTGTATTTCCATAAGTGAACAGGGAATGAATAGATTGATGCTCACTTGTCAGGTACAAGTGCTCTGGGCCAGCCAAAAGCAAACATATGAGCAGGGGTTGCAGGGAGCAAGGCATACTTCCAGAAGACCTCTTGTGGAGCTTTTGCATGAAGACAGTAAATTTCTCTATTACAAGTGTGTGGAAGAAGATAAGGCAGGTAGGCAAACATGCTTGATTTGCACAAACATATTATGTTTCTGACTGGGCACAAAAGTAGGAGACAATAAGGTTCTCTTACAGATGTACCTGCTGTTGCTCGTGTCTCTGGCAGGAGCTGCTTATCTGAACAACATGCAAATCTGTTTTCTGGTTCTGAACTGCCAGGTTATATAAGCAGATGTGCAACTGTTTGCCCCAAATCTGACAATAGTTTCAGTTCTGAAGTAGGTGCTGTAATGTTAGGAAGTAGATTAGATTCTGTCCAGTGGGTTAAATTGTTGTGTCCTTTGGCCTTGTGCACAATTCCTAAACTTGTTGACATTGGAACGAATTAGGAGACAATGGGGATGTTTAACAACAAAGACTTTTTCAGAGCTTGACTTAGTGCAAAGCTTGAATGTTGGGGTTTTTTTGTGATTTTAAATTCTTTTTAGAACTACTGCATACTAGCAGTTTGATGGATCTATTTTGGTTTTGTACTAGCTGTGTAATACAAAGTTTAAACTTGCCCGTTTGTCTTTGTTTTGCACAAATTTTACTTTAACAGAACAGACTTACCGTAATGTGTATTCTGCACTTGTTTAGGAACATGTAAGCCTTAAACAAACTTTCTGCAGAGAGAAGATGAGAATTCAGATGTCTTTTAATGTTGTTGAGCTGGAATTACCATTTTGAAAATATTTACTTTTAAGTCTAATGGTGCCGTTAATTTAACCCTTTAGATTGTGTCTAAAGGCACTCTACTTCTGATACAACTGAGAGCTGCTGATAGAAAGAACACTTTCACTTCTCTTTCACGATATTCCTTAGCTCTGTGCTATGCCAAATTGGTTTTGCAAAAAAGCTATTCACATTTCTGCGGGTTTTTGAGGTCTTTTGGTCTGATGGGTGAGTTCAGTGAGCAGTCTGAGTGCGTATCCATACGATTGCTGGGATCTACAGGATGCAAGGACAGCGTGAATCCAGGGATCAAAGACAAGCAAGGAAAGCATTTGAGGGACAGTGTAGAAAGCAGTACTTCTTTCAGGATTGTAAAAAAGTGTCAAACTTTATGCAAGAAGAGAATGGATGCAAATTTGTTTTCATTATCATTGTCATTTGTGAGCTGAAACTGTCATAATTCTATGTGTACAGAAGGGTAAGAAATAGGTGGCCGGTTTAGGAAGGATGCTTATGCATAGTAGTACCACACAGTTTCTCAGACAGATGATGTTGAAGACCTGCAATGGATTGGAAAAAAAGAAAATTTTCCACCTGTTCATTCACCTCTGTCATAGCACAGAGAGTGCTAGTGTGAAGATGAGTGTTTCTCCTGTAATGCTCTTGTCCTTCACCAAAGAGGCGGGATACTGAGAGGTGTATCAGCATTTTGTTGTATGTCAAAACCATGTGCCTTGTTGTAGTGAAATGTATATTGCTAATGCTGTGCTACATTGCTCAGTTAAGTCAAGAGCTCATGTTTATTGTAAAGCAAAGGCTCACGATCAGGGGCATAGGGATGATTGTGCACCACGACCTTTCCCCTGTGATTTGTGTATTGACTTTAAATTCTTGGCACAGTTAATTGATAGGAAGTCTGATACTGGTGGAGTGTAGTGTTTGCTGTGCACACACAGAGCAAGTGGTGTTGCACCAGGCAATAAGCAATGCAGAGCTAAGACCAACTTCATTCCCGAATTAAGCCTAGGAAGAAGGATTGCTGGGAGCAGACTGCTCTGTGAAAGTGGTTGCTGCAGCCTCACAGAGCAGCAGCTCTTACCCAAAGTGTCTCAGGACTGTGTCTGTGAAACAGAAAAACTGTTCTATTTGCAGGAGAGAGCTCAGCAGCAGCCCTGGGGGTCTTTCCTGCATTCTCAACACGTGTACCTACTGTGTGAGTGGCTGCAGAGGGCTTGGTAGAGTCATGGGAAAACATGGGGAGTAGGCTGCTTCCAGCAAGCAGAACACCTTACTCCACCCCCTGTTTATTTTCTTTAAGTCCTTAGGAGGTTTAATTACTAGCAGCAGGCTGTAGAACAGACTAACACTCTCCACTAGCCATTTGTGGCCAGCACACTGCAGGGGAAACCAATGTATTGTGCTGTGTGATCTTTCCTTTCTACAACTTAGAAGTTTTTGCGCAGTTTCTAAAAATGGCTGGGTAGGTATTTAGGTAACTAGAGTAGGAGAACAGGGCTAGTCTGAGTTTCAATTCGTGGTTCCATTAGTGAATGGTAAAACCAGAGTTCATGGGCCCAATTTTGTTAGTGTGTGATTAATGCAAGCTTCCAGATAATTGCAGCAGTTAAATTTTTTTCAGCTTCTTGGGCACAGAGTAAATGTCTGCTTTGTAAGTTTAAAATTTGTGTTAAGTGTCCATAATAAACTGAATTTTAGGAAATGTCTTTTTGGAATACCTAAATGGCTGCTAGAATGAAGAGTAAGGGTAATGACATTTGCCCTCTGCTTGTCTTCAAAAGGAAGAAACTAGCTGTCACTTTATTGAGAAGGCTGAAAATCACTGGTGAAATATAGAGCTTGCACTTATAGTGAGAGGCAGGAGGGGAAGGAAATCTGGAGTTCAGATTTTGACTAAAAATACTGAAAGAAAACAGGTTTCTTACTGCATAGCTTTAGTCCTTTGTTTGACTTCATGTCACCTCTAATGTGAAAAATAATTTTTAAACAGCATCAAGCAGTGATTCTTTTATGGTAGCCTTGTTTAGTTATTTACAGCTGTGAATATGTGGTACTTTTATGTTAGATTTATGTAATTTATAAACCATAATATATGCTAGAAGTTGAGATAAACTGCCAAGTATAATTTGGTAGTGCAGTGATAAGGGAGAATAAGACAAGGGGGCAAGGAAAAGAAAGACTGTATACTTCTGGAAAACCAAGTATGGAAAATCATGATGTGAATTGTTAGTATTAGTAAAAATACTTTCTTGGCTTACAAAAGTGGGGACAACTCGCATAGCGAACCAAGAATTTAGCATGCAGAAGGAGTAGTAGCAGTAGTATTAAGAAACAGAACCAACTTAGAAGACTCTAAAGTGACTTCACTTGATCATAATGTAAGATGTTGAACAATGCAGCAAGCCACCTCTGGGAGGCTGAGTCTGTGACTGCCTGTTCAGAATTGTCCAGTTCTTCTCAGCTGATGTATACCTAAGTCTTGTTTATTGTACATGGATTTAGTCATGGGTGATATGATACAGTTGTGGCTGCCTGTCAAAGTCAGAATGTTTCACAAATATTAATATGATATTTACCCTTCAAACCTAAACAATCTGAGAATTGTAGATTTTTTTTTGGTGGTTGTTGTGTTTCAAATAGCCTAGAGTGTTTCTGAGGTTTAAAGCCTACACAGATGGATTTTTTTAACTTACTTTTTTCTACCCCCTTACCCTTCTTATGCAGATACCTAGTGCTTTCTGTGTTCAGGGCAGATTCAAACTGACTGCTGTGAGGTTTCAGTTGAAACTGCATCAGTGAGTGTCCGTTATTTCAGTCAGAATATGCAAAAGAGCGAAGAACGTGCCATTAGTACCACTAGAAAAAAAACAGGTTTGAGGTCACAGCATCCCGTGGAAACTATGCAGGAATAAGCACTGGCTTTACGCAGGAGAAGGCTGCTTTAAGCAGAATCTCTCTGTTCTCTTTCTGAGATCTCTAGCCTCACGTAATGTCTTCCTCTTATGCATCACCCAAAGCAGGATTCTTGTGGTCAGGTTACCCTCAGTAGGTAAACTCGACCCCCCCTTTTTCTTCTGTTCTCTTCAAGCTCTCAGTCCTGACTTCCCTCCTCTACATGTATTCATTCCATCACACTGCTTCCCCAGCTCCTCCTCCTCCTGCAGTTTGGCCAGGTTCCTTTGTTTCTTGTGCTGCCTTTAATAGTGGAAAGGGGTACAAAGGAGATGGATATCTCAGGGAAGTAGTAGTGCAAGGGTAAGGTAGTGTAAGGTCTGTCTTGTTTGATTTTCTCACCATGCTTTATCTGCATGCTTTCCAGAAGTACCATTGCAGATAAAGCCCAGTTCAGCTATTCAGCTCCACAGGAAGTAGGATAATTGCTTCTGAGGACACACAGGATCTGATTAACAGTAGGATTTGTTTGGAGGTGGAATATGCATAAGGTAGATGGGATCTTCGGTGAATTAAGCTGTCAGTTCTGCTGAATATGTGCAAATTAGAAGTGGGTGAAAGTCACAACTTGTCTAACTGGGTTGAATTTTGATAGGAGCAACAAACTGTATTTTATTATTTATTTTTTTTAGAGGAGCGTTGTTTTGCCAGATGCTATGTCTTTACCTCAAAATATAGGGATCCTAGTGAAATAGTTGTGGAGGAGCTTTTTTGTTTGTTTATAAACAAGCAATATAGATGTGCCCTTTGAAATGAAGAAAAATTATCTGAAGGATGATTGAATGATTTCTTTTTAAGCTTTCTTCATTTTTTCCCCCTTCACTTGTGCAAAGGAGAGAAGAGAAAGGAGGGAAAGAAGAAACTGACTTCTCAGACAGTTGGTTTATGTGAATAATTTAAGTTTGGCAATGTTAGATGCAGTCTTGAAAACTGTCTTATGATTAGACAACATAACTAGAGGCATTTTATATTGCGCAATATTTCAACAGGAACACACATTTTATCTTTTTAGAATTATTATAATGAATTAGGATTCTGAAGCACACTGTATTCACAGCTAAATTTTATAAATATGCTCCCTGCTCAAAAGCATTAGGAAATCTTCCAATATTGTGTCTTCCTTCTAAAGTATATACCTCACTGTGTATATGTGTACCTGTGTGTGGATGCACTACTTCTATATAGAAAAAGCTATTTTCTTTATGCTTGCAAATGTATCTTATTTTTGGCATTATTGAATAGTGAGAAGTTAGAGAATCTGAAAGATACATAAAGTGTATACAGGAAAATAAGATGTGTAACTGATACGTGGTTGTTTTTAAAAAAACCTGTAATTGCACATGAATTTAAAACCATGTCTCAGCTGTAATTATCATATTTTGCTTATGGCTCAAACCAGTCTGAATGTTCTTCCGATGCCTTTATTTCTTGCAGGAAACATGAAAGAAAAATGAAGCATGATGAAATACGTAAGAAGTATGGTATGTGGCAATCTTGTTTTGATACTCAGTATCTAAATTGATTTGGTTTTTTACTAATTATTATTAAAATTCACAGAAGAAACAAATTGCTTTATGAGCAGCAGAAGTAATCAAGCCCAATTTCCTACTGCAGCATGTCTTCTGTCACCTGAACACCTGATCTCATCACTATTATGTCCCTGTTCTCCTCTTGCAGATCTCCCACTAGGCAAGAGACAATGTGCTGGAAGGTTGCTTGCTTGGGGAGGGCATTTAAATATGTTCATTAAAATAAGTAGTTCTTTCTGTCTTTTCCTAAGCCAGAGTACTGATTTGGGTTTTTTGTTTGCTTGCTCTGTAATGTGATTAAACCAATCTAGTTGAAATTGGCTAGTAGACTCAGGGTTATTGAAGGAGGGAAGACTGACTAACTGATAGCAAGCTTGTTAAATCAAGCTTGAAGAAGCATGGAGGATGCAGCCTAACGTAGAGATTAAAAATGCTGTTTCTTTGCTTTCAAGTGGAACCGTGGTCCAGTAGAAGCATATTGCAAGACTGTAGGCCCTGCTGTGTTGGATAGGAGGCTCTTGTTATCTAGGCTTGTCAGCGCTTGCACTTTTCATTTGAGTTGTTCATAGGGTTAATAGTACTGTGTATTCAGAGACAGATATGCTAAAACTATGCCACACTTTTTATTATGCAAATTGCACTAATGTCAAAGAAGGTGATTCTAGGGGTCTGAACAGTCACTCAAAACTCTTGATTTTCATCCTCTTGTTAAACTGATTGGCAGAGTCTGGAAATGCTGTCATGAATCTGCAGCCTGCCCTTTGGCTGATGCACAAGTGATACAGACAATCTCAACAGGGAATTCTCTGTCTAGGGAATGTTTGTGAAAGTCTGCTTCTTTGCTGGAATGGAGGAAAAATTCACTGTGGAGCTTGAACTGCAGGAAGAAAGAATGTTGTAAAAACTAGAAGTAATTTTGGTTAACAATCAGTCATGATTTTCAGTCCTGTGGTATTTTATAGGGTAATTGACTCTATATCCCAGTTCAGTTTCAAGAGGTTTGAGTGGTTGACAACAATAGTCCAGATTAAAAAAAAAAACAGCACCAAAGCCAAAAAAACCCAACAAAAACATCGAAGTCCAAATGATAACATAAAACACCACAAGCTTTTTGTGTTTGTTTCTCCTTAGAAGAGACCTTAGAGTCAATCTCAACAAGTCTGAATCATTGAGATAGATCTGGTGAAGACCTTCAATGAGTGGCTATGTCTCCCAAGTAACATGCAGCGCTCTGCACAGATATGCGTTAAACTCTGCATCTGCTTGAGGCAGTGACACTAAGAGGAATAAACCAGATCCTGAATTCAGTATGGCAGTTACTGTATCAGAGCACTGCACTGGCGTTAAGTCATGATTCAAAAGGCTGCAGTCAGTTATATTCTGCTTGTGAAACTAGTTCATTTATCTGTGGATGGTCCTACGTTTCAGTGAAGACAGTTGCCTCTCGAATGCTTTACTTTCAGACCTTTGTGGAATGCTTTGTTGGATCTTGTTGAAGTACTTGAGTTTCCTGAGGAATATAACTGTATAATTCTGTGTCTCTGGAATACATCAAATTCAGCTAATCTTGCTTGTAACTATACTATGCACACAGTTGTATGAGAACTACTGTCATTTTGCCTCCACTTGAAGCATCTTTCAATGACTTAATTAAAAGCAAGTTTGTACATTCATTGTCTTGAGGGAAGGTGTACCTTCTTAGAAGGAGCCAGGCATATTCATTGCTTCATGCAGTTATATTTTGCAATGTAGCTTGCCTGCAAAATATTGTAATTCAACTATAAAACTTAAACTTCAAAGCAAACTTCTACACAGAAGTTTATTTATTGGCGTGTTTACTTTATTGCATATGCGATTATTAATGTATATTGTCAGATATATTGATTTGAGCCCTGGATTATCCATAATTCATTTTTGTCCTAAAGAAGAACCTAACTCATGAGTGGTTGGCACATCTCTAAATATGTCACGGGGTTAGGGTGCAGCCTTTAAAAGAGACTGAACTGAGAAGCAAAAATCACTGAACAGAACTGGTTCTGTTTAGCTCAAACCATAACAAAGGGATGTACTAGCTGATGAAAAGTTAAAAACAAAATAGATATAAATTCTGAAATCCCTAAATATTTTTGCTGGTGTATATATTTTTACTGTTGCGTATAGTTTATATTCTGAAAACTTGCAGAGAAAAGATTGTCAAAATAAATTGGCCAGGAATAATACAGTAAGTCTTGCTATAGCCTTGGATCTTCTGTCTTCATTTTTCACTGTCTAGTAAATATGTATGTTAGCATATTAAACATAATCTAATATGAATTGCTGCAAATAATTATGGAGACACTAGATTATTTTACACTCTTATGCACTGTGGAGAGGATTCTCTGTTAAGTAGGCATGGATGAGTGGCAGAATGACAATGACTTTGTTAACCTGACTGTGTAGATTAAGATGATCATGCCTGAAATTTCAGTATTTGGTTGGCGTTAAGGGAATGCCTTTTCCCATTTCATCCACCAGCTTTCCTTACTCCATTTAAATGGTAATTACACATTTATAATGCATTGCAGGTGTCACTCCAGCCACAGTCCTTTGGGAGCATTGGAAGCAATAGAGAGCTTTAGCAACCAGGAATACGCACTTGGAATTATTTCTTTGTTGCACAATTTGATAGTATTTTTCATTTGCTTCACATATATGAATGCAATATGATTACACAAATTATATGTTGACTGTTAGGAAATTTTAAAGTAGAATTTAGACTGTTTTGTGGCTTGTGTAGTATACAAAGGGACTGCAATTTAATTGCTGCTGCATTTGCTGCTATTGTATGTTCAGTAAAGCATTAGTGAGAAGCTGCTTTATTATTTATTTATTTCAGAATTTTGCCTGGTATTGGTGGAAGGATTCTTTCTCTTCATTCTTACAAAATTATTGCCTTTCATGATTTTGGGTTTGCACACCACTTGCTTCAGTTCTGCAAAGGTTTTGATCAGCTAATTTAATGATATGTAATCCTAGCTCCTTTATGCGAGATGTTGATTTTTATATTCAGTAGTTTGTCACAGTAAATGTTCCTTCTGTTCAGGAGAGATGCTTTGTCTTGACCTTCTTTAGTGTTCTGAATGCAAAGCAGGGAAACCTTGTATTGCTATATGCTTAAAGCTGTTTGGTTTGTTAAGAATAGAATTGTTAATCTGGGGGTTAAAAATAAAGAGGAAAAGCGTAATAAGGGTTGAAGACACACAACAAGCTAGTTGGTTTGGGGTTTTTTTTTTCTCAGTATTTACAGCCACATGTGTTTCACTTGTTAATTCTATTTTTGGGTAGTGCTGATACGTGATGAGAGTCAGAGCTCAATGACTGAGAAGCTCCATAGTTAGAATAGTATATAATACAAATGAATATGCTGGAAAATATTAATTTCTTATAATTGCTTTGTCATTTCATACTTATTAGGAAGGCTCATTACTTCACAGAAGGTAATGAAAAATACTTGACTACCTTACCTTTCAAAGTTTTTGAGTTTTTCTTAAATACTGCTAAGCAGATCAAATATTAACCTCAAAATGAACATAAATAGAAGATGTTAGAAGTTCTTGTAAGTGTCCTGTGTGTCAGTACTGAAGTTCAGCAGTAACATGTAATGGACTTTAATGCAAACAAGACTCCTGAAGCTACAAACACTAGCTTCTCTGAACCTGTAAGTGTAAATTACAAGTTGGGTAGTTCTTTCATGTCAGATGGGAAACAGTCAAGAGAGACAACTCATGTCTGGTTCAAGGCAGCACATGAGCTTTAGTTGAACCAGACGTGCTACCCAATTAGCATAGGCTTGCAGCTCCTCTGAGTGTTGCAGCTAAGAGCAGCTGTGGCAGCTGACAGGAGCTTTTTGTCAAGCTCCTTTTTTTTTATGTCTTCCTAGATTGCTTTTGTCCACTTATTGGAGCCTAATACAACTTCAGCAGGTACTGGTGCAAGTGATGAGCTGCCATCTCTCTCTTACTGTAATCTTACGACACCCTTAAAATGCTGTGGGTAAAAGAAATTTAAATGGTGGATGCAGACTTGAGATCAAGACTGAGAGCAAGGTCTAGCGGGTGTTAAAACCTCTGTGCTTATCCTCATTTGACAGGAGGGCTTGCCATTTCTCTTGCAGTACCTTCTTTCCTGGGAGATGAATTTCTGAAGTCATGACCAATAATATTCACACTGGATTGACCCATAGTTATTAATGTCTGTTTAGTTACATTATTATACAGTAAAACAGATTAGAGAACTTTAACTTAAATGTACTAATGCCTGATTGGTAGTTCATTCCTAAACATAATTCAGTAAAATTGAAGAAAGTAGTCTTGGGAGAGACATTTGCAGTAACAAGTAAAAATGACACATTCAAATAGAAACACTAGGTATCTAAAATGGCTTTTGGCCAAGTGTTTTGGGGCAGAGAAAGGAAAAACAAATATTTGGTCCTCAAAGTGATGTAGGAAAAGTTTATCAGGGGTTTTACACCATCCTCTAATTAATTTGAAATTGGCATTGTTTGTGTTGGATTTTGGCTGTTTAAGCTATAAGAGAACAGTGTCTAGTGTGTTACTGTGCTACTTTCATACCTAGCAAGTGTCAAGTATGTATCTTGAATGAAATGCAAGAGAAATGTAATAAGCACTTGCAAGCTATGTAGAGAGAAGTATGCAACCGAAGGTAATTTTGCCAGGGAATCTGGTACCACGTCTTGCCACTGTGGAAAATTTGTTTGCCTTGATTTCTGAGTAAAACTTGAGTGCAAGGAGTTGATGCAATGCCAATTGTAATAAAAAATTGTTCATTTCTAGTGCTGTTGCTAATTTTCTGTAAATGTTCTGTAGATGTTTTGTATTTGGAAGTGGTGAAATACTGAAGTACTGCAGAAAAAAAAGTCAAAAATTGAATCAGCCAGTTGTCTTTCAGGTAGC